ACACTCAGTCATTATTAATTTGTTTTTAAACTATAAATACAATTGTTGTTTCTTTCATATTTTATAGCACTTAGTATAAAAAAAAAATGAATACCTGTGAAGAATTAGATATGAAATTTAAGTAGGTATATTATTAAACATTGAAAATTTCCCTAACAAACGCCTATCAATGGTTGACTTTTAATGAATGGTGAGTGGTGACAAATTTTAACCAGAGTGTCAGCTATTCGGAGGTTTCACTGTAATAATATTTTATTTATACTATTATTCTGAATCATTTTTAAAGTAAAATTGAAGTGTCTTAAAATGTTAATTGGTAACATACTGCTAACATTTATGGAATGATACTTATAACATGCTTGGAATGTTACCGGTAATGTGTATGGAATGACACTTGTAATGTGCATAGGATGTTAGGATAAAGTATTGTATTCATATTACAATTAAAGTTGCTTTCTCGGGACATAAGCAGTTCCATACATATTGTAATTACACAAATGTAACATTACAAGTTCCAAATTAACATTGTAAAAACATCGCCGAAATATTCCATTGCACAGTTCCATTACTCTTACTAGGTATATATATAGGTATACACGTTATACATGGAAGAAGCTACATATTGTGGGGCCCAGTGCAAAATAGTTTAAACAATGTAATATTTTGTTGAATTATAAAACAATAATATAATAGAATATTGTACATTTTTTTCTTATTTGAACTGAAAACCGGGGACAATAATACTATTTTTGAATGTATATATAATTATATTGTACAATTTATACTCAATAATTATGACTACATAAATTATGTAATACATTTATGAAAAGTCTTAGAACTAAAAGATTGTTCTGTGGCTCTATTATACATGTATTTTTAATTCTGCACCTAATTATAGATCCATAGGGTGACTGAACGTAACTTTTGGTAAAAGTTTGATGCCCTAAAAAATGTAAAAAAAATGTCATTAAAAAAAAGTACAATATAATAATTAATACACAATGCCATGAAACAATTAAACACGTTGTGCAATGTTTACCTAACAAAAAATCCGAAGTCTTACCTAAGCATGCAAGCTTCTCGTAAATTTTTTCATCCAAATGCGAGAAGATGGGCTGACGCTGGCAAACTTGGCTGACAAATTTAAAATTCGAAAATTGACATAACATATCTAGAAAAATCAATAGTTTGCACAAATTAATATTTAAATAGGACTTAAGTATTTTTGTTGTTTTTATTATTATTATTATTATTATATAAAGTCCTTAAGCGACATCAATGGTCATTGGGCAATTATAGTGATCACAAAAGGTTATTTTTCAAAAGTTATACAAAATACAAATACAATTGGTAAAAAAGAAGTAAGTGGGTTAGGTGTCTAGAGAGTCACTGGTGAACGTCATAGATGTATTTAATTTGAACTCAATGACTTATGTTTGTATACGAATAACGATTCAGAGTTGAGACATCACTTCAGTCTATAATGTTACTAAGTATTGGTATATATTTTATGATATTAGTGTGATTAAAGTAATTCATATTACTATTAGTCATCAGTAATAGTAAAGAATGTTAAATTCATTTTTGTCGAAAAAATTGCATTTTAAAATTTTATTGTGTGTATAAATTATAATAATATAGGTATACTTCAAAATGTTGAAGTATCCATGAATAATATTTTTAAATTGCAACAAAAAAACTAAAATAGTTATTATTGGTTATTTATAATCTGTAAATAATTTCGTACAATTTTAACTTAAAATAACTATCTAAGTAGGTATATAAAAAAAAATAGTTTTTAAACATGATTTAGATTTATTGCGGTTACGGAATTAACTATTTACCTTATTTTATGTTTTCAATCCTTAGCTTTAACAACTATAGACATTTTATAAATTTAAACTACAAAATAATTTGTACATTTTTGTCAAACATCGTATGTATGTATTTTTAATATTTTTCAACCGCTATTGTAACAATATATCTATGAACCTTATATAATACATTTTCAAGCTTTCTGACCCAATGAATACAATTTTATTGACATATATAGAAAAAAAAGTAAACAGATTGAAAATGTCCATAAACAGTCAAAATTAAGATTTTACTTATTTTGAATTGATCAAGAATTCAAATTAAGAATTGAATGTTAATCATAAATAGATATATTATTAATATTCAACATTTTATGTTTTTAATAATACTAACGAGTTATGTATTAATTGAATGGTATATTTTACGATTTTACGATAGGATCCGTAACCCAAGGTTAAATTTAAATGAATTCATAGTAAAATCATTTAGTTACAAACCCCTGTGTATGTTAATCGTAACGAATTATTAAAAGATACAGTGCGAAAAACGATCCAACTCAAAAAATTCATTAAAAGACTTAACAAGCACAACTTTCCAAATATTGAATTTTTTTTTACACTTGTGCATCAAAGTAATAGATTATTTTATTATAAGTCAGAAAAATGATTTTAGTATACGTTAATGAAACTAAAAGTTGGGCTAACATATATTCGTCCTTAGGCACATTTTTTTCAGGATGCTTATTAATTTTATGTCAGAAATATGTACATATTTTAGCCAAGTAAAAGTAAAAAAATGAAAATACTACCAGAAGTCTTTTAAAAAAATTTTCCAAATTGTAAATGTATTATTGGCTACAAAGCAATTCTGGTAGAACAGCCTAAAACTGTGGAACAGAGGGATATTATATATCACTATCAATTCTGGTTTTTTCGAGGGTTTTTTGAATAAATTTGAACCTAATAAATAGGTTCTTGCAAATAATGAATAAAAAACAGGTATTTAAGGTCAAAATAATATTCTTGTAATTCCTCTCATGCTCCATAATGGTGAATTTTCGAGGAAGAAGTTCTAATCACTCAATAATATTAATGTTGATAGTGTAAGAATAGATATTGAAAGGCTTTTTGCTAGGTTAAAAATGTTTAATGTACATTATGTATATTAGTGGTCTTCAACCTTTTTGGACTCTGTTAGTATTTAAGTTTATAAAATTGCTTATGAAATGTATCTTATATATTTGTATTATCGGTATTTTTTTTATTATTATACTATAGGTGCTTACTTAAATAATAAATCAATAATAATCAGAAGTAATTAAAAATATTATAAGTAGGTAATACAATTTTATATCAGTATATACAATATAGTATATATTTTATTATTATTAATACAATGATTTTTGTTTAAAATTTAAGGTAATTTGCAGTATTCAGTAATCATATACTAATTATAATACTCAAGGTGGATTGATGAAGAGTAGTGTACCCATGACGGATCTGTTTATACACAGTCTATTATACCACCACCATCATTATCATTTTGTTGTCATCAATAACAACATTGTCCTCATATGGTATCATCCAGTATAATAATTTATAAGAAATCAAAATTGTAGATTATTTAATAATTATTTTATGCTAATTTATTATTATTATTATATAAAGTGCTTACATTTTTAACAAATATATACAATACATTAAAATATTTTATAGATTTTAAATTATAATATAGAAATGGGACACTTGTATTGAAATATTAGAATATTAAAAAATATATATATAAATATTAGAATTGTAGTTTTGAGAATTGATGTTATAACAATATTTAATGTTTTTAGACGGTTACACTTCATGTTTTGGCAATTATCTGAATTATTTTAACAGTTATGTAGTTGATTTAGCTCCTATAGTTTGAAGTTATTTTTACTACATATGAGTATAGTAATAACAGTATTATTAATCAAATTAGGGGATAAACTACTGAGCTACCTGATGTCACTCACTCCTTCAGTAATTAGAGTTTTAGGCAATAGTAAATTATACGTTACAATGTAACATTACTTAATACATTTTAGTGTTAAATAATGTAGGTAGTCTAGTTGTTCTCAAATGTTTATTTGAATGTATGCACAAGAATTTGTCACTTTAAATAAAATGAATTGTTTTACCAGTATTTATTTATAATTTAGGCATGCTGAACCTTTTAATACAAAAATTAAGGGAGGTATAGAATGGTTTAATGCAGTTATTACATTTTGAAAAATATGTTTTTTCAAGAATAATATTTTCTATTTTGTTGACATCTTTTTTATGTCTCTCTAGTGAGTATCTCGTTGAAAATGTTTCATCACAAATATCACAATGAAAATTCATTTGAAAAAAAAAAATGTAAAAAGTTACATACTAACTAATATAGACCAGATTTCAGTCAGATTCATTAGTGAATTTTCAGAAATTCAAACTTGTTATGTTGTTTTAGTCTTGCTTCAGTCAATATTTTGGAAATAGCATAATATGTCTAAATTCCTATATCATACGCGTGTTAGATCAAATGTGTTTTATCAGTCCCCATAAATAAAATAGCATCATAAAGATATCTTAAAACCTGTTTGGTTAAGAGTTGGTAAGTTTTGAATACAATACCAAAATAGTGCATCTATTCAAAATGTAGTTTGCTGCTTAAATTACTGATAACTGATAATCAACATGTTATCTAATATTTATATTAGCTCATGAGTGATGCATTCCTATATTTAAAAGCTCCTTGATAAATAAAATAAATCCTAACATTTTTATCAATTCACTATTTAATTTGTTATCATAAATTTGTTTTGTTCAGTTCTCCTAAAGTGTTTCTCAAAAATTAGGTTAGATTTACAACTTTAACCACACTTTGTATACTTACTTGTATTTGTTTAGTACTGTGGTGTCTAGTAAACTGTACACTTAACTTGAATTTATTCAGTTTGTCAGGGTTATAACTGTAATATGTTTGTGTAAAAAAAATTGATTTGCTGTAATTTACGTGGTGATTAAACATATGAAGTACTTACAGGTAAGATACAATTATTATGATAGTATTGTACAGTTTTATTTTTTAAAATTGAAAATATAGATACTAATATTATTGTTTATTTAACTTTAAGCATTAATCATTTCACTTATTATGGATGATCAAATCTGAGTACCTCTGTACCTTGTGCCAAATTTTTATCTACCACTTCTGCAAATTATTAAGTCATGCCTTTCACTACTACGGTGGCCAGTTTTCCAATGCCTCAGTCCATGGTTTGGTCTCCAGCTCAACAAACTTCATTAGTTGCACCTGTAACACCACATGTGATCTCTACTTCTCAGTGCTTCAGCCCACTCGCTAGCCGTAACATATTTTGTCAACCAACACCTTCAAAACCGCTAATCACTGTATTTGTTGGAAACATTTCAGAAAAAGTTCCTCAGATTATGATAAAACACATTTTGGCAACTTGTGGACATATTGCTTCTTGGCAGAGTGTACAAGGATTTGGTTTTTGTAAATACTATCAATTTGAAGGTGCCTTACTTGCTATTAAAGTTTTACATGATATGGAAGTAGCCGGTAAAAAACTTGTGGTGAAAGTAGACAAAAAAATGCAAAAAATATTTGACCAATTTAAAGCAGAAAAAGAAGGTACTAGTGACCCTGAAAAAAATCAAAAATTGGAAGAACATTGTAGACAGAAAATAAACAGTATAATTACAGACTACAATGATGAAATGATCAGAGAAGGAAAACAAAATGAAAACAAAGTTAGGATAGTTGATGGTGTGGGATCTGGTATGGAGCCAACTGGAGATGAAAAAAAAAAATTGATTTTTCAAGAAACATATAAGTTTCAAGAAAACATGAAAAAACAAGAAGAAAATAAAATTGAAAGAATAAAGAACCAAGAAAAACTAAAACTAAATGGAAGACATACAACTTCAGATAATCCAGATTCTGAAGAAAATAGAATGATCCGCCGCAGAGAAGAACGAGACAAGTGTGACACAGAGAAGAATGAAAGAACAGACAAAGAAAGAGAAAAAAGTATTGATGGTAAAGAAAAAATATCAGAAAAAAGCAATGGCTACTTTGATAAGAATAAATTAAAAGAAAAAGAAATGGAAGAAGAAGAGCTGGAGCTAAAAAAAGAAGATGATAGACAGAGAGAGAAAGAATTATCATATCAAGAGAAACTTAATGAATGGTTAACCAGAGAAAAACAAAAGAAAGAAGAATTATCCAAAGAACGTGAAAATAAAAAAAACCTAGAAGAAGATAGAAAAACAAATGTTAAAGAGCTTAAAGAGTTTTTGGAAGATTACAATGATGACATCGATGACCAGAAGTATTTTAAAGGAAAAAATTTGCAAAAACGAATCAAACTGCGTGAAAAAGAAATAGAAGAAGATGAAAGAGATCGACAGAGAGAGAACGATGAACTAGCAATCATTCAGGAAAAGATAAATAATAACATTAAATTAGAATTTGCTGAGGTATTAAAAGCCAGAGAAGCAAATATGTTGAAGTCCAAATTATTAATAGATGTTACTGAAAAACAAAAAGATAAATTAAAACAGTATGAAATGAAAATTGAAAATCAGAAAAACATGGAAGCTGAACAGAAATGTCAGAGGCATGTTATGGAAAAAGTAATAACACCCAGTCCGCAGCAGCCAGGTACATCATCTAGTGTTCATTCTCAAACACCTCCACTCATTTCTCAACATACTCAACCTATCACTTTGATGATAAAGAAAAAAATGAATATCAATGATGTTTTTAACGACGATGATGAAGAATCGCCTAGGCCTAAAAAAGGAAAATTGAATCGTCATCTCGAATATTACAAAGAGAAAAAAGAAAAAGAAAGTAAAGCAATCGAGGAAAAGAAAAAGAGTATCCGTCAGTTAATTGAACGCATTCCCACTGATAAAGATGAGTTATTCTCATTACATCTTGATTGGACAGTAGTTGACCTCCAACAGATAAAAAAATGCATTTGGCCGTGGATAAATAAAAAAATCATTGAATATATCGGCGAACCAGAACCAACACTGGCAGATTTTATATGTTCAAAAGTGGAATCCGGTAGCAGTCCTCAAGCTATAATTGATGATGTTAAGATGGTACTTGACAATGAGGCTGAGTTGTTTGTTATAAAAATGTGGAGACTTATAGTATTTGAGGTTGAAAAAAAAAAATTACCAAACGTTGAACTAAAAGAAAATGGTCACGAAGACTCATAGACAATAAATAATGTGGAACTTTCTGTAAATATAATATGATTCAAATATTGTGACAATTGAAAATCTATTTAAAATTTAAATGTTTACCATAACATATTAGGTACACACTATATTTTTTCATTGCATCATTTTTCCAACAATATATAATTGATTTAAAATAAAACTATCTATGCATTTATGAGTATAAACAATTGTAGAATATTTTTATTTTATGTATTTAAAAATATACACTGTGCATTTAAAATATTATAATAACCTTTGAACTTTATTCACCTATGTGTACTAAGTATGTATGTATTACCCCCCCGTATTACCTAATATGCATGGATTAATTAATTTTATATTGTTCTTGATTAAATACAATGAGTTTATACATAAATTGCAGTTTAGAAATTTAATAAATTATGATATAGTTCTAATGTTTTAATAAATATTTTATTATTTAGCAGTAACTTATCACTTACTGAAAAAAAAAAATATATATTATTTCAACAATACCTTCTATAAAAGTATAAGTCGGTATAAGCTATTCCTACCATTTAACATTATAGCTGTAGTAGTTACATACCTTATATAGTATGTCATTAATTATTATAGTTACCTATCTCGGAAAAATTTGTATTTTTTACAAACAGCTTTTTATAATTGAGAAAATAGTATTATTGTGTATCTGGACGATAATAAGTCATGTTTTGGGTAACCTTGACAATGGCAATGACTAGTGTTAGGTACAATATTAAATTTTAAAGTAATTATAAATTATCATACCTATTTAATATGCAAATCTAAGCATAGTGATAACTGCGAGGATAACTGTTATTAATTGAAAAATATACAGTTATAGGTGGCTTAAAATACAATTAATAAATATTTTAGAATAATATCTTCTCAATTATATGGATAGCTAAACAGTTTTTATCCGCAGCAAAATATTTAAAAAAATATTTGGTTTTGCTATTTATTTACCTACTTAAATTATACGTAGGTAGATACTTACAATAATAATTAAAGTGGGTTCTTTATATATTTATACAATAATACCTATGTTAGTACTATTATAATTGATATAATCCTTAACAAACTCCACGGTTAGGCTAATAGTTTTCAATGTTAATGGCAATCGAAAATTGTTAACATAATATGTTTTAGTAATTCATTTTATATCCCATCCATTGTCTAAAATAGTATGTTTTCCCTAAGAAACCAAAGTCAGTATACTAGATATGTATAAGTAACCTATCTCTATATTTATTTAAAATAATAACAAATAATAAATAACAAAGTAACCACTTTTAAATCAAGGTACAATTAATTATCAATTAAAATCTCATTAAAAAAAAAATAATACATTAATTATGATTGAGACTTTATCTATGGAGATAAAACTATGAGTTACGCAATACCAAAATTCATAGCAGGGTTTTAATAGAAAAAAATCAAGTGTTTTATTCTAAATTACTTGGTTTTACCTATCTATAAATTAATTACAAAAAGACGAAATATTTATTTTCTTTCATTTAAAATATTTACCATCTGTTGATAAGGTATATTGTACATTTGAACTATACTTTTGGAATTTTGAAAAGCATTTGGAAGGCTCTATAATATGTTTTTTTTTATTAGGTATGTGATTTATTTATAGTCTACCTACTTGATTTAGAGTTCCAAACAACAAAAACAATACTTATAAAAATTTAATGAAAATTCCAATTACCAATATAAATTAAATTAAAGTAACTATATCTATTCATTATATTTATTTATTAATTTCATAATTTATAAAAGAAACTAGCTAAAAATGAATTTTTAAAAAGTACTTATAAATTATTCTAAAACCAATTGAATATAAAAATCTGTTATATTTTACACTTAGCATTGTCTAACTTACACATTCAATATTTGATGAATTTTAAGGTAAAACATGTTATATTTGTTAGCATTTGAATTACAAACTTGAAATATAAAAATATATGTATAATAGGTATAATAGGTACTGTTATAAATATTAGGTATATAATATTATATTATATAACTATTAATTATTATTTAAATATTAATTAGGTATAAAACACTTATGAGTTTAAGTTATTAAGAGGACGTATTTAGGAGTACTTACAAGTAATATAACACATTTTACACTCAGAAGATCACTTTTTTCTCCTTTAGTTTAAAAATTAGAGTGAATTGATCTCTTATACAATTTAAGGGTGAGATTATTATCTAGGGTCCCAAATAGTAGCCTTTTTGTTTATTACCTATTGTTTTTAAAAAAGTTATGATCACTAAAAAATGTACAGTTTCAAAAAAGGACACAACTTACTAAAAATAATATTGTGTAAAAGAACTTAAGTGGGGTAATAGATAAAAATCTTACTTTTAAATTTCATAAGAAGTGAATTCACTCTAATTTTTAAGCTAACGGTGCTAAAAGTGATCTACCAAGCTGACAATTTGGTATAGTACCTACACACTTATAAGGTGAAGCCAACACATGTGGCTATCAAGTCCTCTTAAAATATATTCTCAATATTAATTCTCTAAAAATGGTTTATTTAGGAATAGCACAATCTATTCTGTCATATGGAATTGTCTCAACAATTGTAGTTCGGGGGGGTGGAAGGGTAAATAAATCTTGCATGCACAATTTAGAAGCGAGATAAAAAGTCTTTGTAAATTGTTTATAAAAATTATACTATTAATAGATAGATTTTTTTCTACTATTCAACTATACAAATATTTTGGAACTCTTAAAATTGATGACCTTTATATTTTCAAATTATCAAAATGGATCAACATAATTATAACAAAAGGTCTAAAAAATATCAAATTTCAATTCAATGAAAATTAGAAGTAAAACTGTACTCGGGCATAAGAGTAAAGTTTGTGTAGGATCTACATCTTTCAGAAAATTTAACAGTAAACAATATTAATTTAAGTCATCTCAAAACACTTTACAAAAAACAATTAGGTACCTACGTAAATAATCATATTCACTGAATGGATCTTAATAATACTGTGAGCTGTATATAGATCTAATTATGTACATCTCAATATTAGTGACCATATTATAGGTATTATATTTTGTTTGTTCTTTTTCTCTGATAGCTCATTTTGTCTTTGTAATTAGATACTTAATAATTATTAGTTATTAATCATGGGAATATGCTTTAGCTCTAAACTCGCCATTCCCTACAAAAATATTATGGTACCTACGCTTAAAGAGGTGGTCTTAATTGTTAATCTTAATGTAAAATCGATATGTTGTTATATTGAATAATAATAATAATAATAATAATAATAATAATAATAATAATCCCTATAATAATAATATACATAATATAATAATTAGAGACTCACCAGTCACATGGTGATCTCGAATGCGATGATGTCCGGCTGACGATGTTGGGTATATCTATAATCGGGTGGGCAATCGCAACAGCAACGGCCTATGTGCACAGATATTTAGAGGCCGACGTCGGCGGAGACACAGTTTAGCAGTACATAACATACTATCGACGACGGTGGCAATACAATTCAATAGAAGCGTAAAAAAATATCGGCGGCGGCGGCGGCGATGATCGACGGCACTTCCAATTGGACAATGTTGTAATGATATTATAGTACCTACGAATTACGATTATATTTAGGTAGGCCAGGTCGTCACATGACGAAAAACGACGAAAAACGATAATATTGCGAACGACCGACGCAAACTTTGACGGAACGCGTCGCGCGAAACACGAGTCGCCTCCGAACGACCGCACGCGGCGGATGGCGGCACTACGGCGCGCGAGCGCGAAGTCGAGATCGACGAAATAGCAAGACGAGAGCTACGACGATTTGAACGGGCCGACTGTGCGGGCTACGAACAGCGAGCGGCGACCAACAACATCGTGCGCTCGCGGTCGACGGGACGAAAAACGATAATATTGCGAACGACGCAAACTCTGACGGAACGCGTCGCGCGAAACACGAGGTCTCGCCGTCTCGGGCATCTCGCACAGCCGGCGCGTACGAACTCAAAATATATTATATAATGTAAATCGAAAAACGCGCGTACGACGCCGTCCGAACGCGGAATACAACAACGACTGGTGAGCGGCGAGCGCGGCGCACCCGTCGGGACACGACGACGTCTCGGCGGCGCGAGGCGACGGGCGACAGCTTGCGGGAGGGGGGATAAAAGTTCTGGCACATTCTCCGGTTGTTGTGCGCGTGCGCGCACCGGTTCGGACGACGAAACGCGGTGGACAAGTAGTTGATGGGAATACAGGACAGGCGATCGTAGGCACGGGTTGTCTCCGGGTGGTTTCGATCGTGGCCTAGAGCACACAGAACGCGGCCTGTCGCGGCGGGCCATGTACACACGGTTATCGCGACGGTCGAGGTCGAATTCTGTATTTAATTATTTTCATTTCAACCGGACCGCTGCCCGCCGCGACAGATCGCGTTCAACGTGTCCGAGCCTTAAATATAATATTATACACGTTTTGCATACCTCGATGCAAGGAACCGCGACCACTTACCCGGTGACTTATATGACACACTTGGGTCTTGGACCAGTCCTGCCATCACCTAACATTGTATTCGTGTTTCTCCGGGAGACACGATTGGGCAAACTCATTTAACCTTCTGAACAACACGACTTTAAAACTGAAACTCATATTATTTAGTCTAGACATTTGTTATTATTAAACCTTTTATATTACTAAGTAATATACATATTTGTAAAAAAAATTTATCTTACCCAATGGTTATTTCTTTAATGATAAAAAAAAAATATATTATACACCTGTGTAGTGTGTATAAATATATTTAATCATGGTTTCGATCAGCATCAATGGAACCACGATACCGTATAACTGGTTTTTATATTTAAAAAATTTGGTTGTAAATTTACATATTTTTAAATGATGACGATGTTGTGACATCTATTAGCGGTAAGATTTACCTGCGACTAGGAAGGCACCCATTTACAGCGTCCAATAATAGTTGTTACGATGATGTTGTTGAGATGTAAGAAAACACGTAGTATAGCATAAAATAATGTGAATAGATATGTGATCTGTAACATGTTCACAATATCTGTACAATATTACACGGTTTTCAAAATTGTTATAAGTGTATAGAGACTACAAAAAACCAGGGAAATAATTACAGTTATCGGTATTTTTCAATAATATATATGAGTGATATCTTAAAAAGGAACAATATTTCCACGGAATGTTATTAATTTGAGGGTCCGGAAGTTCATGCATTTGCATGTTTTTACTGAGTACCTACACCAACAATTAAGTGGATCGGCTAAAAATTTAAT